CCGCCGACAAACTCATCTGTGCAGATTTCACACTGGCAGCCGAACGCATCCACGACTAGTCTTACCAAGCAGTGTGCTTCTTTCGACCTAATCGGACTGACGGTGGACGTCAGTCTCAACAAATCCAGCGAACTTGATCGCCAGAAATCCGACTATTCGAGCTCTGATTACACCCATCAGGTCAGTGGATTTGGCTGCAAGCTTGTCTATCTGACCACGGAAGCTGGCATCTCAGTGCAAGTAAATGGTTCGCTTTCAATCGTTGATCTGCATCCGAACTCGACTACAGAGGTCTCAAGAGCTTCTCTCAATACTACCCACTTCAAAAGCATAATTTTGCAAGAGGTGGCCTCCACCAATGGCACTTCCACGTTCAATAAGAAGCCAGTGAGGCCATCCACACTTCATCGCGATCTTATCTCGAAGCTGGAAACTAGCGTTCAAGGCGCTTTTGTACCGTTGATGAACAGGATCTTCGATCTCACCAGTCAGTCACACTATGTACAAGCTTCTCATGTGACACATCAGATGGCCATCATTGTTGGCCCGGTACAATCCTTCCTCTCCGAGGCAATCCTTCTGTTTGGAGTGGCAATGGTTTTGTATTTGGCCTACACCTACCCAAATCGCCCGAATATGCTTCGAAGTGACCCAGCTTCTATCGCATCCATGTGTGGTATCATGGCCGATGTCATTGATGCTTCGTGTCTGTCTCACTTGAACCTAGATCAGTTGTCAACTAGACAGTTGAGGACCATTCTCAAGAACTATACTTGCCGCTGGCAGCAAGCTTCTGACCCTCCCCGTATTTGTATTGAGCCATCTGCTGGTAAGTCTCGCACCAATTGTGATTTTCCTCGGTTAGGGCCTCATAAAGCAGACATATTGACACTGTTTAGTTCCTCGGTCTCAAAGGCAGATCTTTCAAGGCAAACCCGATCCAAGACCTCATTTCCTCCTTATACCAATTTTCGCTCTTGAAATATTCCTCTTCATAGCGGTATTTGCAGGTATTGTGACGATATTCGTGCTGTGTGCCAAGGATGGGGCATTTCATTCCTTGACATATCTTAACTCCGACAATCTGGCGGCGTTGTTCCAACTCATCCCGTCTGCACTCGCTTCCATTATCAGGGCATTATGCCTCTCGATATACCGATACCTGAGCGTTCTGGAACCATGGTCTGTTCTTCAGGCAGGGGGCGCATCCGCTGCGTCTTCCCTACTGCTCGAGTACGGATCATTGAATCCTATTGCTTCACTCTTTAAGTGGTTCAGTTACCGCCACTTCTTGCTGGGACTCGTAGGAGTGGCCTGTATGTTGAATACCGCAATGAGCATATTAGCCAGCGGGCTTTTTCGGCACGAGCTTGGTCCGACGAGGGCGGATGCTGATATGAAGTCCAACTACAGCTATGCGTCAATCGCCATAAGACAAGCCTCGCCAATAGGCCCCGAACTTGAAACCATCAAGAGCAGCATCTACAGTGGTACCTCGGTGCTCTCTTGGACCACATCCAGCTATTCATTTCTCCCTGCATGGACGGACACGTCGTCCGAATGGCTCGTTGGGGGCACCATTCGGGGCGTTGGTGCCGATTTAGTATGCAAGCAGCTTTCGATCGCCGACAGCTATTCCGAGGACCCGGTAACAAATGTAGCCAGTTGGCAATACTCGCCTTTCAACGAATCAGATACGGTGTGCCAAATAGACACAATCCAAGACACTGAGGCTAGCCAAGGAAACAGTTTGACGGTTCGCTTCTTCGCTTCACCGACATCTGCACAATCAAGTGGCTGTCAGAAGCCTGCTGTCGTCGTGGTTGCCTACCCCAGCGGAGGTGGCTATCTACAAACCACACCCGATACCGCAGTCGCGTTGTATTGCGAATCCCTCTTCCTTATGCAGAATTTCTCCGTTGGTTTCAACTCTGATGGGTACATACAGTACCATGTTCCTCTCAATGGCACCTTTGTGACAGACGATGCGATTCTACGCAACGGGACGACAAACCTGGCCAACTACAACCTCAGGCTATCAAACCCTCTAAGCGTCACTTACAATGACTCGCATCTAGAAACCAACAATGCAAGCAGTACTGATTGGTTTGGCACCCTCACGGCAAATCTCTACCGCATTCTGGACACCAATACAAGTGTCATTACCGCAAATGTTCTCGAATCCGCCACCCGCAATGTCTACCGGTCAATCTTTGCAACTGATCTATCGCTTGAACGGGATGCTTACTTCCAACTTCAAGACCATCCTGCTCGGATCAGCGACGGTATTATCTACAACATGTCATGGGCGGTGGTTCCATCGTTTGCATCATTCATGTATGTCCTAATCATAGTGGTCTTCGATGGGTGCGTTGTCGCCTCGGTTTTCCTTACCAGGAGAGGTCGTTTCAGGTTTCCTCGCATCCCACGGTCCATCGGCTCTATAATCCCTTGGGTCATTCATGGACAAGTTCTGAACGATTTCAAGGGAACATACGCTTGGAGTGAAGGCGATCGAGAGAAACACTTTGTCGATCTGGACAAACGATACAAACTTAATCGACAGGAAACGGCCGATGGACAATGGAAGTACGTTTTGGATGAAGACAACTCTCGCCGCAACAGCGAATCCTCTACCATCGAGTTACAGCCGATTACTCCGGCGCCGAAAAATCGGTTCCGAACTCTGCTGCGAAGGGTGACTTCTGATGACAGAAATCAAAACAGATAATGACCCTCTTGGCTTGGTTGTTTCAATCATTTCCGCCATCTTAGCGGCTTCTTTTGTCTAGATTTCGAAACGCATTTGCTTACTGGTAAGGTAGATGCCTGATCATAAGCACTTGCTGAGGAAAGGCTCCCAAAATCGCCATCGAGTTGGGAAAAGGGTTTCATTCCAAATAACAAAACCGATTGATCTCGGTACACGCAAGAAATTCTACACCAGGCGGTCCGGACCTCGAGACGGCCTCAACCCTTCCTGGAGCCACCTTGCATTGATGCCTTGGTATCTCCCAATTATCCCACCATTGCCATCATGGAATTTGATAATGGGAAAGACCGGGCTCGCTTGAAACCTTGACTTAGGCTCTGGGAGACATTCCAGAGCCACCATCACTCGTATTGGCTGGTTGGCACGATCGTCAACACTTTGGCAAGCCGGCATCTTGCCCTTTCCATCTAAAATGGCACGGAAGGTCATTGGGATACGAACGATGAGAACCAATGGTTCGGTCGTGGGGTGTGATGTCGGTGTGCCCATATGCAAGTGCCGTCAATGTCCCACACGCTCGCCCATGTGTGCTCCGAAGCCCACGGCAAACAACCAGCCTATTCGGCACTTAAGACTCTGCAGAATGCTTATCCATTCCATGGTGAGGGGAGCTTCCGATCGTCGACTGCGGGAAATTGTGAAGATGCCGGGTGGTCGACGAGGGGGATGGCGGCCGGCAGCCAATGGTTAGTGTTCATCACATTCTAAGCGCCGAGCAGCTGCACGAAAAGGCACAAGTCACCCCTTCATCACACCTAGTCTCGAGGTCCCTGCTGAGCGACAACGAATCATGGAGTCTGGATGAGTGCAAAGCGTCACCTCCTGACCCAAAGTTTCCTAAAATAGGTTGCCATCCATCGCCAGGTCAACCCCTCGCCTTCGCCCTCCCCACCACCAGGGTTTCTCCCCAGCAATGAAGGTCGAACAACTATATAGCCGCCCAGCTAGCCCGGGGATTAAGGGTTCTTCCTCTTTTCTTGACACACAATTTGTTTTGGGCTTTGCTGGGTTTTTGTTTTCGTTCTATTTTCATCCTTGAGTAGTTCGTTTGGCTGGTCCAGGCGACTATCTGTTTTCAGCTTCCTGTTTGGCACGTCATCGAGTAATAATAGTATCATTTACACGCCTGCCTCATTGGAAACACTCTGTTGATCAAAGTGGTTTTCCTTGATAATATTGTGCTGCTGCTCCTTGCGCCTATTCTCTACTTGTTTCTTCCACCCCGAGAACAAGATATCTTTTTGCATTCCATCTTCTTTTCAACCCATCAGTGTCAGTCAAAATGATCGCTCGCAACGCAAGACCTAAGCTTTCACTGTGCACCTCCGCTGCGCAAAATACTTCTCGTCAGCCTCTGTCCCTCAAGTCTCCCAGCGCCATACCGCGCACTCCGATTTCCCCTGCGAGCCCGAGTGCAAAGCGGTTCTCGTCTTTCCAAGTACCAAGCTACGCCTACAACAACTCGTGCTCATCCAAGAGTATCCTCAAGAAACATTCGGGCGCCTCGAGTCACGCAGAAAAGCGGATTCAGTTCAAGGGCACTCCCACTGTCCACTGTGTCACGCCTATCGAGAATCCCGAGGAATACTATGGCACTTACACCAAATTGTCGCGCGAGGAGCGACGTTGGACGGTTCGTGAATGAAGACGAGGCTGATGTCACTACAACCAACACTACGGCCAAAAGCAGATCGGCGGGATGCTGGGCCAGGAAACCGAAGAGCCTTTTGATGCGCCACGGTTTCTGTGCCCTCCCCGCTCCGACTCGGTTGTGATAAGTCGATCCGGCATCTGGAGCGCAACGACAATTCGGGGTATGTCTGGCGGCGGGGGGCATTGGGTGTCCTTGAGTGCAGCGGAAACACTGGAATGGATGCATCTGGTGGATTGAGGATAGACTCAGCGTGTATATGATACCTGTTATGTTCATGATGTGATGATACGGTCCGGCGTTTTGTACTTAGCATAGGGCCTATCTTGGGCTGCCCCAATGACGATCGTTATGGCTCCATTGTGTTCAGTGCTAGCAGTAAACTAGTAGACCTACCTATGGTGAAATTCTCGCCAGCGGTGATCCTAGCCACTTCAGACCGACCGTAGCGACTTATAGTAACAGCGGCGGCGGCCCCGGGTTTCGATGGCCCGTGCGAGGAGAATCCCGATACGATAGTCTTTAGTTTTCCCGCCGACAAGCCATACCCAGAAAGCTTGCCTCAGCCTTCCTTCGCTCGCTTCTCAAATCATTTCCAATGTTGAGCAGAGTTTCCACCTCATCATTACGCAAAGGCTTGTGTACTGCTCCGAGGTGGAGTCTTCTACCTCAAAGCCGCCGCGGGCTGCTCACACTTGCGATCGAAACGTCCTGGTGCGTCTAACCCGCCCGAACTTAACTTGCGCGACAGCATAGCTAACTGCTCTGATCTATCCAGCGACGACACATCGGTAGCCATCGTCGAGAAGGAATCCAATGCCGTCCAAATCCACTTCCTCGACAAGGTGACCTGCGACACCAGCGCATACCAGGGCATCCACCCGGTCGTGGCTCTCGAATCCCATCAAGAGAACATCGCAAGTCTCGTCCATAAAGCACTCGCCCATCTACCCGTCGCGAAGCACGAAAAGCACCAAACGATAAATGTCTCAAGTGATTCGCAATTGCGCAGGAAACCCGACTTCGTATGCGCCACTAGGGGACCGGGGTTCCGCTCGAACCTCTTCGTCGGGCTAGATACAGGAAAGGCGCTGTCCGTCGCATGGCAGGTGCCGTTCGTCGGAGTCCATCATATGCAGGCTCATCTGTTGACTCCTCGTCTTGTATCGTGCATGAACCGTGGCCAGGCCCAAGATAACAGCCAGGATGTCGCGGCGTCGCAGCAACCCATCACCCCCGAGTTTCCCTTCCTCTCTATCCTCGCCTCCGGCGGCCATACAATGCTAGTCAAATCCTCCTCCATAACCGATCACGAAATCATGGCATCAACAGTGGACCGAGCCCTCGGAGAGGCTCTAGATAAAGCCTCCCGCGAAATTATCCCTCCCTACCTCCTCCAGACGTCAAAGAGCACCATGTACGGGAAATTGTTAGAACAGTTCGCCTTCCCGAACGGCAAAGCCGACTACGCCGACTACCAAGCTCCCAAATCCCGCCACGACGAACTTCTCCCGCGAGAAAATCCGTGGGACTGGTCTTTCGTAGAGCCGTGGGCTCACAGCCGTCAACTGCAATATAGCTTCTGCTTCATAGGCAGCACGCTAGCGAGGATATTCTCCGCTCGCGAGGCAGCCGGTCAGACGATCACTCATGAGGAGCGGATAGCTCTGGCTAGGGAGGCAATGCGGACTAGCTTTGAGCATCTGGCGTCGCGCACTATCATGGCGTTAGAAAGTCTTGCTAAACAAGGGCCGGAGAAGGAGGTCAAGACTCTTGTTGTTAGTGGTGGCGTTGCGGCGAACCAGTACCTTATGACTGTGTTGCGCTCGTGGCTGGATGCCCGCGGGTTCGGGCACGTTGGGCTGGTTGCTCCCCCGCCGTACTTGTGTACGGATAATGCTGCTATGATTGCTTGGGCGGGTATGGAGATGTTTGAGGCGGGTTGGCGCACGAATCTTACCTCTCGGGCTATTAGGAAGTGGTCGCTGGATCCGCGAGAGGAGGGAGATGGTGGTGTCCTTGGGCCTTTTGGGTGGGAGAGAGCTGAGGATCATTTTGTACAATAGGTAGATTTTGGGGATGATGTTCTTACCACTTCACTCTTCTTCGAGTGTCTATTTTTATGAGCTGTATATAGATCACAATCCATGTATCACCACCACTACTGGACTTTACTCTCAAGGAGTCTGTATAATCATGTACATTTCATTCCATGTCATATGAACTAGTAATTCGCAAGCCATGCGAAAGGCGCTACCTTAACATAAGACAACACATGATGCAAATCCGATCTGCTCTAGACAGCACCAGTATGTCTGTGACGAGACCGTTATTCCAATCCCCGTTTCTAGAGGGTGACAGCTTATCAGCCTATCAACAACAACGGTGAAAGCTCATCTCCACACCCCACCAGCAGCGACAAGCATTTCGGGCTCTTCAGATCTCCCGACCCTCCGCCTGAAGTTTCCAGCATCGGTCGACTTTGTACAGTTATTTCAACCTTCTTCAATCTCCATCAACCACCTGCAACAGTGCCACCCTGCTGCAGCGCCGTCACTTGCTTCCGAAGCTCGAGGAAGAAATCCTTTCCGTTTGCCATTTGGTTGGCTGTGTATGTTGTCGTTCGAGTTAGGTCATTGTTCGTATGTTTCGCGCTGTTGTTTCCTGGGGATGTAGTCACGTACGTTTTGCGCCCCAGGGTCCGCTCGCGCGGTTATTTACATCTTTTCCTTGTGGTTTGTAGTAGTAAGGTCTCGGTTCTGGAGAGGAGATGAGGGTTAGCGATAGGTAATCGTAGGTATTGGTTTCGGATGAGCCGTGGTGGTATACGCACCTCCCGGTCCTAAAGTGCAGCGCAAGCTGTGTGTTAGCTGGTGCCAATCCTCGCGTAGAAGCTGGCCTAAACTTACCCTTTCTCAGAGCTCCCTTCGCCTCCGCGGCATTGAAGCCTCGCACGGGGACATGCTGCTCCTGCTGCGGCCCGGAAGCGAACTGGTCACGCGAATCTCCCCAATTATTCTGTCCTCCCCGAGACCCACCATGCGCGCTCATGGTGCGGGCGTTGGAGTGTCTTTGCGCCGAGTGGCGGTTCTGGTCGTATGGGCGACCTCCGCGCCATCTAGAATGCATACCCACGGGTGGGTTGTTGTTAGTCTAGAGGTCTGGGGAGCATGTAGTAGTAATTCAGTCGGGCAAAAAAAGAGTGGGTAGTTAAACTTACCGCTCTTCACCGGGGCCACTCATTCTGTTAACTATCTAACCAGTAGACGGTAAACAGAACAACGAGATGGGCTTTGTGAATGGGGAGAGAGCTCTTGGGGAAGTAAGTAATCAAGAGGGGACGGAACTGACAGACACAGGAAGGTCGGCGGGAAGCAGCGCGAATGTGGAGAGCGGCTTGAGACTCTCCGCCGTTGGGGCCCGACGGCCAGCCAAGCGGGTTGCTTTGCTTATCATAAGCACAGCATCTGGTCAACTTCCCGCCCTCTCGCGGCCTGCGCGTCTTTCCCCCCTCTCTATTGTCGCCCACATTCACTGTCGAGTACTGTCTTTTCCGACCTTGGCGGCTTGGAGGAGTCATGCTCTGTTTATTTTCGATCGTTTGACCCCCATTTTCTATTTACTTTACGGCGCGACGTGCGTTTTGTCTGGAATCCTAGAACGTGCGGCTGAGCGGCACCGCTCGGCGTCGCTTTATCACCAACTCCTTTCTAGCTGAACTTCCTATCCGTCTCTGTTCGCGCTTATTCCCATCTTGTTTGAAACTATGGCGCCTCTCTCATGGCCCAAGAGCCACCGCTCGCCCAGCAGACCCTCCCGATCCCAGACTAGAGTGACCTTGAAACCTCCCTCGAGCTCCGACTCATCGGTGACCAACGAAGGCCCTCCCCTCAAGAAGCGCAAGTATGTCCCTGGCGGACCGGGTGGTGGTGGGAGATACATTGAGCTGGAGGTGAAGGATACGCCGAAACCCAAACTCCCTACAGCAGTCAGACGTAATTCTTCCAACTCTCGTGGTCGCAATGGCCCAGTTCCACTTCCAGAGTCAGCACCTCAACCTCAGCCTGTACAACTGCCTCCGCCGCCGCCACCTCCTGTTCCGACGACACCTCCCTCTGCGCGTCTGAGAAGAGAGAAGAGTCAGAACCGGGGCCGTTTTGGGTCGTCGACGGCGGCTGCCCTTGCTCTACAACAAGGGGATGGTTACAAGCCGCGAGAAGAGCGAGGTTGGGAGGAATTTCATCCGGATCTAGATATCGATGCGAAATTTGCGGTCTTCGATGCAGAAGAAGTGGATCGCCCGCCTCCCACATCATCGATTGCTCATATCCTGTCGCCAAACGGCCTCGATAAGACGAATGAGAAGGATCCAATAGCAGAGCTGATTCGCGCGCATACGAATGGCTCGTCACCGACCCCTATCAAGCGCCGACCAGGCCGCCCTCCTCGTCGACCTGAAGCCATCCTCAACGCCTTGGGCATCACACATCAACAGAAGAACGTTCCACCCCCAGGCCCGAATCCCCGCGAGAGGCTGACGTTGCCGAAGCCCTCGTTCCGCATACGCGACCCGTTCACTTTCTATGACCAACCTGGGGTGGGTCAGCAGAACTATGTTGATCGCACTATGGCGAGTGTAGGGTATCAAGAAAGCGACCTATTCCTCCGCCATGACCGTCGGTTGATCCGCATGACAGAGGGTGCCCAGGAAGATGATCTGGACCCGGCGAACCCTGTCACTTCAGAAGGTGAGGTCAATGCTGCCGTTGGCCGGGTGGAATATGATATGGATGAGCAAGATGAGAAGTGGCTGGAGGATTATAATGCGAAGCGAAGGGAAGACCAGCTGGAGCCGATCAAGCCGGCGGTCTTTGAGATTACCATGACCAAGATCGAGAAGGAGTGGCACGTCTTAGAGAAGCGTATACCGAAGCCTAATCCCAAGCCTCCCCAGACGCAACGGCCTCGTTCGAGCTCTGCCGCGGCGGTAAATGGTGAAACTGCGCCAGGTGAGGAACAGGACAGCAAATGTGCCATTTGCGACGATGGTGACTGCGAGAACTCCAATGCGATTGTTTTCTGCGATGGTTGTGATTTGGCAGTCCATCAGGAATGCTACGGGGTGCCGTTCATCCCGGAGGGACAATGGCTATGTCGCAAGTGTCAGCTGATTGGAAGAGGGTCTGTCAACTGTATCTTCTGTCCAAATACCGAAGGTGCCTTCAAGCAGACTACCTCCTCGAAGTGGTCTCATCTCCTGTGTGCGATCTGGATCCCTGAGGTCTCTATTGGTAATCCTTCTCTTATGGAACCGATCACGGATGTGGAGAAAGTGCCTCGCAGTCGCTGGAAGCTTCACTGCTACATTTGTCGCCAGAGGATGGGGGCCTCGATACAGTGCAGTAACAAGAATTGCTTCGTCGCGTTCCATGTTACCTGCGCACGGAGGGCTCAGCTTTACCTGAAGATGAAGTCAGGACATGGAACCCCGGCGGTCATGGACTCCCATCTACTCAAGGCTTTCTGTGACAAGCATGTACCACCTGAATGGCGCAGAGAGCATGGGACAGATGTTGCTACGGCTGAGGCAATAGAATACTACAGGACTACAATGCAAGGCCGCCGATGGGGAGACAGCCAGGCGGCGGCTCTTTCCTTGGAGCCTACACACCCTCTTGGTTGCGACCACGGGGATGAGGACGGACATCGCATGCATACACCACGTATTACCCTGACTGTTGGCGGCAATAAGCGGAAGCGACCGACTGTGCCCAAGACTATTTGGAAGTTACCGTCCGGGGCCCCTGTGATACCTCAGGTTGTGCTTAACTCGGTCGTGGCCTCACTGCAGCGCTTCGGGGTTCGACAAAGAAAACAGTATGCTGAGGATGCTTGCAAATACTGGACGCTGAAACGAGAAGCCAGGCGGGGAGCCGCCCTGCTGAAACGATTGCAACTCCAGCTGGAAACCTTCTCGTCTATGGAGATGACTAGGAGGGACTATGTTGCAATGGGAGTCCCTGGGAGCAAGAGATTACAAAGACGTATTGAGTTTGGTGAGAGACTCTATCATGATTTGGATCGGTTGAGGATGCTGTGTGATGAAGTGAAGAACCGCGAGAGGGAGAAGTTAAAGGACGTGGAGACGCTTAAAAGTATTGTTGACACTGTCTACTTCCCTATCTTCCCTCTGCTCTGGCCAATATTCGAGAAAGCTCAAGTGTAAGCATGATCCTACTACTTTTCCTCACGTGATCTAACATCGCAGCAGGCTTGATGGCAAAGGTATCTTTCGACAAGGCCTGGCGTCTATCCGAACCAAGCTGCAAGAACGGTTCTATCCGTCGGTTGCTACCTTCTCCGCCGACCTGGCCCATGTCTTCACTACGGAGATTGGAGTCCAACCGGCTGGAGATACGGCTGAGCTTCAGATGCAGATCAGTGGTCGTGCACCGGAACTCAGCCTAGAGCAACGCGAGAAGAGAAAGCTTGCCAAGCGGATAATCAAGGCGATTCAGCCTTCGCTAGAAGATGCGATCAGGAAAGAGAGCGAGTTAAACCGCAAGCCGTTTGAACAGGAGCTCAAGGAGCTCGATCTCATGCTAGAGAATAGTGTCATGTCCAGACGGGGCTCCGAAGTTGATGCGCCAGAAACAGTCAACGATGAACAAGAGTCTGCAGTACCATATGGTACAGAGCAGAAGGCTGAGGAAATGGACGTGCTTGCTAAATCCGAGCCTGAAGATAGTGCTGGTGTTGCCGACGTGCCTGGGAACACAGCTGCAACAGCTAAGCCTAGTGCGGCCGAGTCCCTACCCGCAGAGGCATCTACCGAGCCTCAAGTACAGCAGGACACGAACATGGAGGATACAGAGCCTCAAAGTGCAGATGTGGCGCCCACAGTTGTGCAGCCTACAATTGAAAATCAACCATCTGTCCCTGATCAAAACGGAAATCTGGAGAAAGAAAGTGTTGAGCCATCCAAGCCACCAGTGGAGACCCAAAATGGGCCGTTGACGCCCCCACCCAGTTTCAAAGGTGATCAACAATACCCCTTGGCGCAAGGAGGCATCCAGTGGTATATGCAACCGTTTGATCCCATTGGTACCACCATCCACGAGGAGCGGTGGACCGGGCGAGATGTGATGCGAGGGATGAGCGAGGAGCTCAGTGAGCTAGACGAGGAGGAACTAAAAGACCTGGTTGAAGATGAAGAGCTGGAAGGACAGCTGGTCAATGGATCGAACGAAGCAGCAAATGGAGGCGATGCACCGACGCAACAGAGCGTTAAGGTACATCGGACTCGACGACGCTGGCGCGGATTCAGGTAGTTAGACGTACAGATGGCGGAGATATCATCATTGGTTTTGAGCGAACATTCCCTACACACCTACACATCATTGCTTTCTTTGCGTTACCCGGATTTCCCCTTTCTGCATGTTTGCTTTTCTTTCCTTGACTCCCTACTACTGCTGCTGTTGCTGCTGAGGGAACAAACATAGGCTGGCCAGGCGTTGGGGAGGTCAGAAACTGGGAATTTGGTGGATTAGAACAATAGCCATTCTCAGGTAATGAACTTTACAGAATGTAATCACGTCAATTCGCATTCATTTCCCATTTTATTGTAAAGATATATAGCCTCACTCCATAGTGTGGAACAGTATTGAATGGGTGGTATGGAGAACGGCCTTGGCACGACGGCAGAGCCGCGGGCGGTCCAGAATGGCTTATGGAAGACTCGCCGCGCTCGACTTTCTTTCCCGGTTTCTCCCCCTTCTTTCATCATCACCACCGATTTCCATCTCTTCCTCCATCCATCCTTTTTGCCTTCCTCCCTTATCCCCCTTCTTCTCCTCTTCTTTCTAACTTCTCGGAAATCAGAGCCATCTTAGCTTCCTGGCTATCTGATATCCGCGTCGGACAGCTATCGGGTTCGGTTGTTGAATTTTTCTGCCTCTCACTAGCACTTTCCTCGGTCTGCGTCGCGCGCGCGCCTTCTCATCCCTTTTCACCTCACTCAGCTTTCTCATTCGCCTTTTCGATTTCCGTCATTATGGCTACAGAGTACGATAACGAGAACGGTCGCTACGACGGTATGTCAACCGGTCATCTTGCCTCGCCAGCTCAGCTGATCTCCCCGGTAACATCATCACAACAATGCTGACTTGCTGTTGCTCAGACGAGCCCCGTTTCGCTCGCGACCGCAGCGCATCTCCTCGCGATGAGCCTCGTGCTGATCGCACTCGCAGCCGTTCTCCCAACGGTCGCGTCGATGATCGGTATGTTTACGTGCAGAGCTGGCTAGCTAGCTAGCTAGCCGTACCCAAGACGCCAGCCAGACTGACTGGAGCTTCTAATTAGTAGCGCCCCCATTGATCCCCGCAAGAACCTCGATGACGAGGAGGGTGCTATCAACACTGGATCCAACCTGTTCGTCACTGGTATCCACCCCCGTCTGACCGAGTCGGATATTTCGCGTCTGTTCGAGAAGTACGGTGATGTCGAGAACTGCTCGATCATGGTCGACCCCCACACCAAGGAGTCTCGTGGATTTGGTTTCGTCAAGATGGTTACTGCCGAGCAGGCCGATGCCGCTAAGGAGGGTCTCCAGGGCGAGGTCATCGAAGGCCGCACCCTGAGCATCGAGAAGGCTCGCCGTAGCCGTCCCAGAACCCCGACTCCCGGAAAGTACTTTGGTCCTCCCAAGCGTGGTAAGTTATTGTCCAGACTCCCTCTGTATGTCGATATATGGCTTATGCGTGTTCAATCTTGTTAGATTTCCGTGGAGGTCACCGTGGTGGCCGTGGCGATCGCTATGATGATCGTCGTGGTCCTTATGGTGGTAGCTGGCGCCGTGGTGACGACTACCGCTATGGCCGCTATGACTCTTACAGCGACCGCCGCGACTATGGTGGTCGTGACTACCGTGACTACGGTGGCCGCCGTGACTACCGTGATGAATATGGTTACCGCGGTGGTGGCAGCAGCGGTGGCATTGATCGCTATGCTTCCGGTGGCCGCGAGGACCGTTACAGCCGCGACGACCGTCGTGACGACCGCCGTGAGGAGCGTCGTGGCGGCAGCGGTGGTGGCTACTATGACCGCGATGCTAACCCCCCGAGTTACGGCTCCGCAGCTCCTGCTCGTGATGCCTACGCAGGCGGCGGCGGCAGCAGCGCTGGCGGTGGCGGCCGTTCCTATGACCCCCGTGACGACCGTTACAGCACTAGGTAGGTGAATATTTGACTGATCTGGACGGTCGGAACAGGGCCCAGAGCACGTAACCTCGTCCAGTGATGGGTCCGTTTAGCCTCCGCGCTTCTTTCAATTTGTTCTCCCCACACCTTTTGTTTTTTGTGACATTCCCTTACTTACCCTATTTCCTGGAATGGTTTTTAATTCCCAATACCCCCATTCGAATGGATTTGCGCTCAACGGGCTACGGTGGGGCGTCATCTGTTGTCTTGTCGAAAATGGAGAGAAGAAGTCTTCATCGCATTCACATGTCATCCGGCGAAACCGACATGTCACCGTTTATGCGACCAGTCGATCTTCGAAAGAGAAAAGAAAAACCAAGGGAAAAAATAAGAAGAAAAAAGAAAAGGAGAATCCTATGTGGTGTCGTCGGCACTCCTCACACGCTGATGTTTTCTTTTGTTAAATTCGCTCGCAACACCGGAATATTTGGCGGCATGGGAAAGAACAAGAACTTTAACGTTGTAATTCCTCGGATTGTCAGATGGGTTCAGCACACTGCTACATTTCACTCTTCAACCCTTCCGGAAACTTGGTCGTTATCTCGCTAGTCAGCTGTTCGCCTTTGTTTGCGTCTTTGCGTCTTATACAACTCATCTTAACGTAACGACTTTCGATTGTATTCGGCCAGAAGCTTCCATAAATCTGCTCAGCCTGCAGAGGCTATTGCTTACGCCCTGGATCCCGCTCTCTGCACCCGGCGGTCTGCAGGGAGGTCAACCAGTGTCGCGCGGCACCAGTTCGCCATAGCGTTTGCGTTGTAGTATCGCCAGGGGAAGAAGTCCAATTCTCGCAATAGAGCCAATCCGATGGCAGCAGCAAACAAGTGGACCCTGTAATTCCGGGCGTGGGTACTTTTTTCCCCCGGTGCGATCGATAATCCGGCCATATGGAAGGGGTGGGGATTGAGGTAGGTTCGATCGGTCTGAGACTGATCGAAAATATGAATATCAGAATGCTACTATGCTCTGATTGACCTAGGTTGAGAGCAGGGGACATCTACGGGTGTCTCTTGTTCTTTTTTCTTCTTCTTTCTATTTATTTTCCCACAATCATTTCATAATGGCTAACTGCAGGGCAGCATGCTTGATATCTGTTGTTACATAGATATTTCCGTTGCGTTTGGGACTAGGGAATCAATTCGTTCTGTTTCAGATTTGTTCTCGCTGTGTTCCCTTTAGCATTCCGTACCTTACATGGAGAAACTGAACCCTCGTTTGGGGCGTAGAGAGAATATAGACGTGTAAGCAAGAGTCTTATCCGATGTCTGGTATCTAGGTGACATGCAGTCTCCAGTGACCGCCCTACCCATAAGCAAACCCGTGCCTAATATCCTCAAGACAACAGATATTTAGCCACCAAGCTAATCGTACATTTCCATCCAAATCATATTCTCATAACCGCATTATCTCCACCTAATTGAGCCCAATAGATAGCACCATACGGTCGAGGATACACTCACTCACTGCCCCAAGAAATGAGAACCCACAGCTAGCGAGCAAGCAACTCCCCCCGTATGTCAAAGCTATCCAAAACCCAACGATTCGGTCTATCTGTGTGGGGGTGCGTCTCAGACTGAACGACTAGAGTAGACTAGACCAGATCAGCATCCATCCATCATCTCCTCCTTGTTGCTCTTATGTAGATGAGATGAACCTTGAAAGTAGTCGCTTCACGTACAGCAGCACATATTGGTGTTTTTATGTGTGCGTCCACTGAGATCTTAGCCAGCCTTATTCCACCGTAGATATTATGGGATGGTGTATGAGCTCGTTGATCGTCTCGTGTAACACATCACGGATCCGCACCAATGGTCAATTGAACAAGAACGTCTACTCCGGAGTCTTCGAAACACCCTGCTGTTCGATTTCATTGCTCTTCTGGATGAGGTATTCGCCGAGGACGCGGAGGGGGTTGGGTGGTCTATCATCATGTTATAGACACCGTTAGCCCGCATCCTTACTAGGATCTTCACTTGGATAGGATACAATCAGAAGGTATCATGGTATACGCACTGCTCCTTCGCAACGACCGTCATCCCATCAAGAAGATGCGGCACAATCTTCTCATTCATGTATCTTCTAATCGGGGCGCCGCCGGGACGCACTTGGGGGTTGGTGGTGGTGGTGGCGGAGGGAGTTGCAGCGGCGGAGTCGGCACCGGGGGTGTTTGCAGCGGAGTCGGAAGCCATTATTTTGTCTTTTTCGGGGTTAAGAGGTGGGTGTATTTGTGATGATGGTTGTTGGTTCTGCGGAGGGAAGGGAGTGATGGTAGTAGAAGTAGTAGATTGTGGTGGAGGATTAGGTTGAGGTTGGGGTTGAGATGTTGTTGCTGTTGCCTGCTGTAGGAGGGGACGCTTTTAGTGAATGCGTGGATGCGGTCAAGCAAAATGAATAAATAGAATTGCAGACGTCAATTGAGGTGAATTTGGTTCATGGGGACAAAATTGAGAAATTCAAGACAGAAGTAAAACAAAAGCGGAGCAAGTTGCAACTGCTCCGCCTGTGGGGATCGCGACGGAGAAGTTGTACTGTGCTGTGCTGTGTGGTTCCTGGTAGTTTGGGGTTGATTCTTACCACGTTGTCATCGGCCATGGTTTAGTATTTGTCTGAACTATAATATGCTTGTAGCTTTAATATGATATTTGTGAGATATGTGATTATATTCGATGGAACTGGCCCTGCTGACTGCATGTGCTTCATCTTGTGCTTCACAACATCAGCATCAGTGCAAACAGTGCAAAGTAGACATGATGCTTGTCCGAATCGGGATATAGTGGTCAGGTGACTTCGTGTCTTTCCGCGTCACGTTCTTTTCCCAGTACCGAGATGCCAATGGAGAGGCTATCATTGCAGACTATGTGTTAGTGCTGCTGCTCGGGCTGCAGCATGTCCCTGCTGCACTACTGGGACACTCTTCGTCCTTCCGCAAAGCGCAGGAAAACCACCAATGAAGAGACTGACACCGGCGATGAGAAAGACACTCCCGACTCGTCTGATAGTCCGCTGATAAAGCCCTCTGAAACACCGCTGCCGGAGCGACTAGACTACGATCCTACCCCTGCTGAAGCTGGGGTTGGGGCTGCTGGAGATGACTCTGAAATACCATCAAACAGTCAAACCGAACTCGAGTCCTCCCTGCCTGCCATCCAGGCAGACAATCGCGCAATCGAGGAATATGAAGCTTCGCGCGCAGTTGACGACGAGAACGAGCCGGACCTCCGGCAGAGACTGAGAGACGGTACATGGCGGAAGGGTCGGAGTTCTATCTACGTGGATGCGTTCAATCTGGCACTGGAGACTGTGCTGGATGAGGAGGCGCATCTCTTTGATAAGGCGGAGATGGAAGTGTTCAGGCAGTGGCGAGAACTGGACTATGAGTCTCAGTATTTGTATGTCTACCTGGGTCATACTTGTTAGACTTTGAAGCTGACTGTGTAGGTACGTGCGTCTGTTCCTCCGCAAGACCTCTGCCTGGCACCGCGTGAACCGGCTAGGCTATTACTCGGATATTGCAGACCTTCCCCGAGTAGTAGCTGAACTGCGCCGCGCTCGCAATCTTCCATCGGCATCTGAGGATGGAAATTCCACGGATGACACCGTCCCCGTTGATACGGGCTTCGTGCTGGGTCAAGACGGCGAATTCAGGTTCGCCGAGGAAATTGATCAGATAACCACGCTAGAAGAAGCGTCCTCGCTCCTATTACTCGACGAGTTGAAAACGCTCGCGAAAGACGCCAAAGTAACAGGGAAGAGTAAGAAGGAGCTCATCACCGCTCTTCAGCGGTCAAGTCAGAAACAAACAGGCCTGCACTGGAACAGTAAATTTAACGGCAACAACAGAGACGACCACTTCATCCAGAAAATCCTCGACTACACCGGAGACTGCATCCGACTGGCCTCCGGCCCTCGTGCCCTCTTTGAACGAGTCCATCTAGTCTTCTACCGGTCCACCGAATGGACCGAAAAATCACTCACCACCATCATCCTAGCCAAGATCTCCCGCAGAAACTTCCCAGAATACGTAGTCTGTCGAACCAATTCCATCTTCCCATCACGGGAGATCCTTTTGGAATTCGAATCCGCCCTGCGCACGCAATTCCAAATCGACAACCTCCTCGAGTTCAACGGCACTCCCACCGTCGAACTGCTAACCCAAGTCAAAGACCTCGCCTACAAAGTCTATCCCCGGTGGAAAACCCTCCTCCACCAAGAACAACAAAAAGAAGACACTATCTACGACTACAACGAAGGCGCCTACCTCCGCCGATTCTCCCCAGCATGGGTATACACCCGCATCATCCACAAGGGCCTCCACCCCCTGGGCCGCTTCAAAGAGCACGAAGAAGAGCACCGTCTCCTCTGTGAACTCCTCGCCCAGCGTCTTTTCCACGCTGCTCGCCGCGGCGCATGGTACCAGCGCAAAGCCCTCCTCGAAGAACACTACCTCTGGGCCCTGAAGCCCTCTGAAGGACGCACCGAGGAAGGCCAGCGCAAACACTGGCGCCGTATCGCGCTCCAAACCTGTGAAACAGGCCTGCAGGACCCAGACTGCCATCTCATCTACCACTATGACCTCCAGAAACGAATCACCAAGCTCGAAAGAGCCCTGAAAGTCGTGAAACGCGAACAGCATGACTTCGGGCATGTCAGACTAGCCAAACCCGCAGAACGCACCATTGAAGGTATCCAGATCGAGCGTGACGAGCCAACCCAAACCCAACCCTCAACTCCAGCTGACACCACCACCACCACCACCGCCCCTATCATCACCACCTCCAAACGCGGCCGCCCCACCATCTGGCTCGACCCCCGCGACGGCGGCGAATGCCGCGTCGAAAGCATGTGCCTAAGCTGGTATCGAGACCGTGGCTGGAAGGGCTACCACTCCGAAGGAGGCATCATCCGAACCCTGTTCACCTACCTCTTCTACGACATCCTCTACACCTACGTCCCCAACGTCTTCCAAACCCCCTTTCAAACCAGCCCGCTCGATCTCCACACCGACGCCTTCTACCCAACCCGTCTCTCACAGATAAACCACCGGCTGGTGGAGATCACCAACGGCGAGTCGGAGCGGCTGATTCGCGCTGTCTATGCGGAGCAATCCCCGCGCCAGACGTGCGCTATTGGCCTCGATTGGTCCTTTGAATTGGATGATTTGGTTCAGATCGTTAGATGTTTCCCGGGTGAGGCCCTCGCCGCTGTTTGTAGGGTCGTCGCGCAGGAGTATCAGGCTCGTGGGGGTGGGGTGCCGGATTTGTTGGTTTGGAGGGTGTATGATGGGGAGGATGGTGGTGGGGAGGAGGGTAAGAGTGATGGTGATGGTGAGGGTGAGGGGAAAGAAGGCTACGGAGAGGTGATGTTCGTGGAAGTCAAGTCGGCGAATGATCGATTGAGTGATTCGCAGAGATTATGGATTCATGTTTTGGCGAGTGCGGGGGTGAGGGTGGAGGTTTGTAATGTTATTGCGAAGGAGGTTATACGGTCGTGACAGATACCAACCAGTAGATATTAACTTATACGTGATAGGATATACAGCTACACTCAAATTACACAACTACGGTACTAATAAAGATAGTAGAAAGGTATGTGTATGTGGTCATAATTTTTGTTTCATGACTATCGACGGAATCAACCCTTTCCAGATCGACCCAATCAACCACAACGACAGCCACTTCACCACAACAACTTCGAACCCCGCACAAGAAGATGTGCACGCGCTTAAGCGACGAGGGTGGAAGCAGTGGCGGACTCGTAACGCCAGGTGGGGGGGAGGACACCGACGGACTTGTAGTAACGAGACAGACGGTGGATACGAGACTCGATGAGAATCAGGCGGAACTTGCTGTCCTTGTCCTTGCGGTTACGCTCAAGGTGCTTGCGGACGGCGACGGCCTAACCAATATTATTAGTATCTCATTTGAATGGTTGGAAGGGGGATGGGATCGGCATACCTTCTTGATGAGGTGGTACAGGTCCTCGGGGAGCTCGGGGGCAAGGCCTGTTGTAAAATCACTCTGTCAGCCTGTGGTTTGACCAAGCAGAGGCATACGGGATCACGCAAAAGAAAACCTCCAACTTCCCAACTGCATTTCTGCGAGTTGGGGTTGGAAGTTTCAACTTCCGGTGCCCTCCAGTTTTATGGACATGTTGTGGCATGTGTGTGGTGTAGAGATGGTGGGAGGCAGAGAGAGAGAGAGAGCCGGGATTGCTGCGATTGCGATTGCGAGACTGCAATTGTAGGTTTGCGAGTGTGCCATGTCGATACGGAGCAGAGTCCGAGAACGATTCCGGGTATGTTTCAACCTCATTCTCTTGTCCCTCTTCTTCTTCACTTCCGTGCAGAATATATATCGTATCGGTTGTCCATCAATAACTCGAATCGAATCGCCGGATATATTCCAATCCGGGTCCTGGCTGCTGCTGCTCTGCTCACGCCCATTCCTGCCATATTCACATCCACAACATGCTCATGCAACTGGTGCGACTGGTGAAAGGGAATAATCTGTCGGTGATGTCGTACCGTTGGACTTCAAGATACGGAGGATCTTGTTACCTATACACATTCCATATATTAGTATCCTCTCCCGTCCCTAACTTTTCTTTTGAAATTCCAGGGGGGAGGTTTCTTACCAGTGACAGTCTTGACCTGGGCAACACCGTGGCTGTCACGGAGGACAACACCGATCTGGGAGGGGGTAGCACCCTTCTTGGCGAGCTTGCAGATCTGCTCAACAACCTGCTCGGTGGAAGCCTTGAACCAGCTCGGGGGAGTGCGAGAGTAGGGGAGAGCGGAGGACGAAATGCCCTTTCCCTTAGAGTGAAGGCGACCCATTTTGATTGATTGGTGGTGTTGACGGGGTGTGGTTGTCGAACGGGTTGTGAGTGAGCTGGTCGAGTATCGAAAAGTTCGAGGAGGACGAGGTTATTTTTTCGTTGGGTGGATTTTGCGATCGTGGGTCACGTGGAATCCAGATTTGCTGGTATTGTTGTGGGTATGGTCATGTGATGTGGGAGCTGGGTTCGCTTATTTTTTTTCCTTCCGGAGCTTTTTAAGCTCCGATTTGACTTTCTTTGAGTCTTGGGTTTTTATTCCTTGTGGTATGCCAGCGAGCTGCTTTGACCTGCTGCAGAGTTTATGATGCTCTGATTTCTTCGATTTCGGCTATATGGCGATCGACTAATTGATACAGCTACATGGCTGGCAAATTTGACATTTAGGTTAGTTTTTACTCCTATGCTTTTTACCCTCTGCTCTGCTTTACAGGATGAAACACACCTTACTTTTTATTTTTCTGGTACCTCTTATGTCAGAGATCGGCTTCGGTCTATCTCGATGATCTAAATGGACTTCTGATATCCTTTCATTTCGCAAAATGTTATGTCATGGGAGTTGAGACGCATAGTGCTAACTCGCATCAAGATAGGTTGCCAATATTTTGAATCGAGGGTATTCTGGTGTCGAGAGATGGTTTTTATAGTCATATATCAATGAATTCATATTACTAAACGGAACTACGGTATCTTCCCTGCTCGTGTAGATCATGGATTCGCGCGATCCCATATTGTAAATGTACAGGAATGTAGAGGATTGGCGAGACAATGTCTTGAGCATGCAGGCCGAGGGGATATCTGCCCACTGCTATCGCTGAGAGTCCTGTCGTGTTGCAGCTTTATACTACTGAGTACTGCGATGGCATCGGCAATGCATTCTACATGATGAGCCATTTCAGGGTCGCAAAGACTGCTTGAAGAGAATCACGCAGCCTCGTGTCGTAAAGCTCTTCATCCATCGTCCAGCAGACAAATCATCATAGCTGCACATCTCCATCAGTGTCAAGCAAATGCAAGCAGTATCACACCGCAACGAAACATCGCTTTCAAGACATCCTCGTGCATCCGCTTCAGCATCGCAACTTACCCCCAGATGCTGTTATCGGGTTTCTGGAATTTTCAGCGTTTTCCGCGCGACGCCATAGAAAATTCGACGACATAGTGTGATTTGTCGACCAAGATTCCAAATCAACTCACATAGACGCGCAGACGGACGAACCATGGACTGCTCTGCAACGTGCATCAAGTGTTGCTGCGAACATCCTGTAGATAGATAGGTAGTCATGATGCGATTTGTCTGTCTATCTGGTTGTCTGCCTCGTGCAGCAACTCCGAAACAACAGTAGACCCGCATAAGCGTAAGCATAAGCGTAAGCCCTAGCCAACTAGCTACACGGTAATATTCTGTGTGAATATTTGAAGCCAAGAAGACCATTCGCTTGGGCATGGAAGCCTGCGTTGTGGTTTGGCGATGTGTCATATCCTAGCAGCAGTAGCAATAGTGGGCTGTGGACACCAGCCGTTGGTACGGAGTAGTGATGATTGAGTCACTGACAGGCTTCATCCAAACCCACCTGATGTGACCGCTTGTTGTGGAGCATAAAAGTAGGCAAGTGGGTATCAGCAACACGTTTGTGTTCGAAACGAGAAGAATAAATTCGAATCGTACTTTGTTTGTACGACAGAAGCGGCCATCTTCCGTGTTGTGCGAGATCAGTAACACTATACTCTGTACACCGTAAGTACTCCATAGACTGGAGGATATGCAAGTCTAGACCAGGGACCATAAACTTGGAGGCGATCCAGGTCCATGATTCGACCACTCCATGAGCTGTGCGTTGACGTCTGATCCCAGAGATCGCCAAATCAGACGGTCGAGTGCGACCGACTCCAGGGCACGGCGCGGAGAGGGGCAAGTGCAAGGGCAAGCTGAGCCTCGTATGTATCACCATTCAGCAGTGAGAGATCCATAGCAAAAGACGGAGAGGTGAGATCGTGGATACCGCAAGTGAGCGTCGGTCTCCACGCGTTGTGACCGGTCAGCTGGTGATGAGCCTATGATCGCCCCCGTCACCGTCACTGCTGGATGGCAGCGACTGATTGGCTTGCCCCGTTCATCCACAAGTGATGGCGCAGTTGCACGGGCTAGATACTTTGTGCGGGATCTGAGATGGATCGCTGGGATATGCTGGGGGGCGAGAGTGAGAATTGCCTCTTGCGGCATCCGAGTCCCGATGTGCCTTGTCTTGCCTTCATCGCATGACCTGGTGGGATTTCACGGTCGCTGCTTCTGCGGGCTGATTTGCCCCGCTAGTAGAGCTGACCGTATACAAAGGCACACCAGTCAAAACTCGAGAATGAGAGGTAGCACAGACATCACAGATAGCTGAAAGGGTGTCCAGCGGACGACCAGTTGGATGATTGATTTCCCTCCCATTTCGCTGATTCGTCTCCTGTCAACTGGCTTGGCGGCGAGGTTTTGTTCTGACAGCCCTATGAGCTATAGTTTAGGTAGTCCCGGCTTACTATTGGATTCCTTCCCGGGGAATAGTATCCAAACATAATAAGCAAATAGGAGAATTTGAATCCTCTTTCGTCAGGGGTACAAAGGGATCTCTTCTTGCGTGCATCTCGTATTGTTTGTTGCTTATTGTGTGTCTGTAGATACTAGTAGTGATCGTCTCATTAGTATATCAAAGTCACCAGGGGGTAAGGGACTAACCATCAGAATTTTCCATAGTCTGTGCTTTAGTTGTTTCACTAGCAATGCATTGCTTTTGCTGCCACCATACGGATGTAAAGGTACTGCGTAGGCCAGAAAAACTCCTTGATTATACTACATAGTTTGTAATAGATAGCTGCCAGACCTGCATGGCACTGCCCACTAGTCTATGATAGACCAGAAATCACTCATGCAAATCTACCAACTACCAAGATAGCGACATACTTCCAGGAGATGAATTTGAATTCAATAGCAAAAACCCGGTTGGGAAAGTCTAATCAGGAATACGCGGAAAAGACACGAGGTATACTCTGGATGGAAAGTTCTACGACGAAGCTTCGATACGAGAATCGATGGCATCTGCAAAGACATCGAGATACTTCCCGTGCAACTCTGGTTAAGCTATAAATTAGTATTGACAGAGTCAAGTTAATCTCTCGTATTGCGGGATGCGCGGGAGCAATGCCGATGGACGGGATGGAGGCATAATTGGAGACTGACAGTTTCATCCACCCGGCAAACTTAGTCAGTGCTATGGAGTAACTAAATAGTTAGTTAGTTGGTAGCTATTCTAGACTCGGGTAGAGGGCAAGATAGCCAAGCGAAACACGTTTTCGCAAAAGGCCCCATCCAAGTGGGAATTTGAAAAACTTTGTAATCCAGCTAAGTCATGTACTTTTAACTCAAGACTAGAAGCCGCGAAGAGAATGTGGCAAATGTTTATTTCCTATTATTACCAAAGCCATTTATAGAAATTCTCCACGTGTGGTTACGTCTGTCATGTCGTGGTGTACGGAGTAGATGGTGAGGACTATGGAGTAAGCCAGCTAGCTGACCATCTCCTGGTCGGTGTTTGAAATAGATACACGAGTCCATAGGCTGAACGAACAATGGGATTGTGGGAAGAAGCGAAATCGAAACCGTAGATTCCACTG